TTCTAGGTATTACATTGAAATTATAAACAATTTTTTGGGCCTGTTTATATTCAACATACACAATACTTTAAAAGTTCAACATTAGGATTTGATGCTAGAATGTTCCTAGTGTCCCCATTTTTCTTCGTTTGGAAAGAGTAGTATTACTGTGTAAGATTAATAATTGTTTCTTAATATATATATTTAAATGGATCCTTGCATAGAAAATACCAGAGAACCATCATAATTCAATGAGCTGAGAAATGTGGAGGAAATGTCAACCTCACATGAAGCTTCCATCATTTCCACACTCCAAACAGGAATTTCAATGCTAATTGTTAGTGTGTTTCAGATGAGTTAGAGCAATGTTGTGGAAAACAAGATCAGTTGTCTGTCCAGAGTGGTAGTCCTCAGGTTTCTGTCTATCTTTGCTCCACTGAGCAGGTCCAAAGGAAAGATCTCCACATATTGACACTGGAGAACTGATTGGAAGTCTGGCTGGTAAGGATTATTTCCCCTCAAAGGCTATGTGTTGGAAACTTTATCCCCAATTTCATGTGATGATGAGCTTTAGATATGGTACCACTGGGAGGTAATTAGAGTTCGATGAGGCCACAAGTGTGAGGCTTCTGTAAGATGAATGGTTTTGTAGGAAGAGGGAAAGAAACATGAGCTCAGACATTACTCCTCCATTCATTCTGGTTAGGTGCTACCCTCCACCATTTTATAAAGCACTAAGGAGGTCCTCAGAAGACAAACCACATTGATCTAAGCCTTTCCAGGCTTCAGAGCTGTAGGAAATAGATTTTCCTTTATGAATTACTCAATCTGTGGTATTCTTTTATGGAGACAGAAAATTGACTAAGATAACAGTGGTCCTTGCCAACCAGTGTGCAGGCTGTACCATTCTAGTTTCCTCTTATCTCGTCCGTCCTTAATCACACTATCAGGAAAGCTCCCTTTTCCAATAGGGATGTAAGGTATTGAGATTAATGATACAGAAGCCCAGTGGAACATGTGTGGTCAAATAAAGAACAATACAAATGAAAAGAAAACCTAAAATACTCAGAGGCATCCTTGACATTACTTCCAGAATTTTAAACTAGGATGATATTTTAAAAAATAAATAACTAGAGAGGAAAGGAGAGCTTTGGTAATGAAAAGAAAAATGATTGCAAAAAAAAATCCATTTTAAGCTTGGAATGTGGAGTTCTGAATGTCTTCCAAAAATTAAAACAAAACAAAAAAAGATCCTATGACTGATACAAAGCTTTATCTTGTTAGAGAGAGAGAGAGAGAGAGAGAGAGAGAGAGAGAGAGAGAGAGAGAAAGAGAGAGAGAGAGAGAGAGAGAGAGAAAGAGAAACAGCACAAAAGAAGACATCAGATGAATAACAGCCCCAGTTTCCAAGATAGAGGGATTTACCCTATGGAGATTGAGTTTAAGGCTTCATGTATGTGAGGCATGCATTCTACCACTGAGCTATGCCCAGCCCTTGGTGGAGCACACCTTTAATCCCAGCACTTCAGGGCAGAGACAGAGGGATCTCTGAACTGGGGGCTAGCCTGCTGGACAGAAGAAGTTCCAGGGCATCCAGGGCTATGCAGAGAAACCCTGTCTCAGGAAAAAAAATCTACATGACAAGAGAAGCATTGTGATCAAAACTGCAGTTAACCTGAGATACTTTAGTATCTTCCAAATTAAATAACGGAATCAACACCATTCTGTCCTTTAAAATGTCCCTGCATGAGATGGAACATTACAAAAGCTAGTTTAAAAACAAAACAAAACAAAACACACACACACACACACACACACACACACACACACACACACACACACCAAAAAAAAAAAAAAAAAAAAAACCGTGGAGTCTCCACTCACTAAGTAGGATTTTATTCTTCAGACTATCTCTCATTCACAATACATTCAAAAATCTAAAAGTAAAACTGGACAGCTTCAGTACTGAGCCAATCACATAGCAGCATTAGCACTGGCCAATATTTAATGATAATGGTAATGAATCTCATTTACCACATTATTTTATTTGTTCATTTAACTACCTTTTGAGTTATGTAACCCAGGCCTTCTTATCATATTTGATCTACAGTCCTCACATACTCAAAGGAAAAGTCACCAGAAAAATACTTAGCAGATCAAGACTGACAAAGAGACACAGATTTGTCATGATCATTAAAAAGAAATTTAAATTAGTGCTGACCAGAGGAATAGTGCCCCAATGATGTTTTGCCTATATATCAATCTAAATTCCTAATACCCCAAGTCTAACCATGACGCTTCAATTACATTCATTGAGGCCATTATTGGTACTGTTGTTTGCTGATGACGGAACCCAAGTCTTCACACATGCTAAGAGCACAATCTACTGCTGAGCCCCATCCCCAACCCCAGTGCTCCTTGCTTTGGTTCTCCAGGATGCCCCGCCCCCCATGCCTGTGTGTGTGTGTGCCTGTGCGTAGGTCAGAGGGCAACCTCTGATATCGTTCCTCTTCAGGTGGCATTGCCTTGTCTGTCTCAGGCATTGTCTCTAGCTGGTCTGGAGCTCTTGAGTATGCTAGTCTGGCTAGCCAATGATCCCCCAAGATCTGCCTTCTCAGTGCTGAGGTTACAAGCCCAGGCCACCATGCCTGGCTTTTTTTTAATGTGGGTTCTGGGGACCAAACTCAGACCCTCAGGCACTGAGTCATTTTGCCAGCCTTGCCCTTACTGTTAAAATACCTATCTGAGATTCCGTTGTGTTTCCGTGAATGAGCAGTTAACTGTATTTCCTTCTACAGTAAGAATATTCATTCCACAGAGTCTCTGTCTCCTTCTAATTTAGTGCTTCTAATTTGCTGTGGTCTGGGAAAGCACACAGCTAAGTTTATTAATAATCATAACTCTAGCCGCAGCAGTAATTAGACCGAGTGTTTCTGAACACTTTCTTTATCCCAGCCAATGACTGTAATCGGTGCTTTTATTCTTTATTATAATTCATAGGAAACTGAGGATGAGCAGAGATTCAGTAATTTGCCCAAATTCCTGGAATAAAACATCTGATTTTTGAAGTAGAACAAACAGAGCTTGTCTGTAGAGAATGGAAATTAATGTTGGGGTGGGGAGTTCGTTAATCAATATTCCTCAAAGAGTGGCTGTGCTATTAGGAGCTGGATCTATGTATTCACAGACAGCAAGATGACTTTGCAGTGTGCTCTGAAGGATTTTACATACGTGTGTGGGTGTGAAACAACCTTGAACTACATAGTAAAAAAAAAAAAAAAAACCTTACATTTTTGTTGATTTCCTTATTTGGTTCTTGGTGTTAGGTCTGTACCATGCTAGGAAAGCACCCTACCATGAAAGTGTTCTAGACTCTCAAAATCTTTTTTAAAAATTTTAAATCAGCTTCAGGTTTCTCTGATTACTTTAAAGAAAAAGTCACAATGCAGGAGGGTGGTGGTAATATGTTCTTAACATGTTTTTAAAATGTATTCAAACATTTTGGTAAACAGGGCTAAATTATAAAGCTTCTAGCTTTATACAGCTGTGGTATCTAGCTAGAAGTTACTAATACTTTTCATTCATTATTTTTTCAGGATAATACCTGCTAATTCAAAGTGAAAAAAAATTCTGGATAATTTTGATGTCTCCTTTTGAAATTCAATTATTTTGTTTTGTTTTCTGAAATACTATGATTTAAGTTTGAAAGTTGAGTCTATTTTCATAAAATTAAGCTGTAACAGATGTGACAAGGATTACCATAAATGATTAAGTATTTAAAATGCATCTAATAGAAGGAAATTTTGTAAGTGAGAAAACAGTCCACAAATGTGATACAGTTTCTGTGTTTAGGAAAGTCAGTTCCTAAATGCCTTTTCTAAAGGAAAAGCCAGTTGCTCCTCACTCTTCCCAGCTAGTGGTCAGGTGCTCCTCTGCTTTTCTGAGCTGTGAGTTTCTGAAGGTCTTCTGTACCTATGGGCAGTGTGCTCAGCTCTTAGGAGCTCTGGATGGCTCACAGCAATCTCACAAACCATCTATTGAAACCAGCCATCACCAAAAATTAAACCACACTAATTTCTATTTAAATAAAATTCACTATAGCATAAATAAAGACCCCAAACTCCCTGTATTTTATTCTTACATTGCACTTGAAGTTATTTGTGTCTACTGTAGAGTGGGCTGGCAGTATGATCTAGGGACATGCTACTGCACATCTACCCCACGTTAACTCCAGTGACTTCGTGTCTGCTATCTAGTGTGGTGTGAAGAATTTACACTATGAAAATTGGCAAAAGCTGTGAGTTGGGTTACTTCCTCCTGGAGAGCTTTTAATGTTTAAGAGCTGTAAGTGCCAGAATGAGTGGAACTGGATGCCCCTGCTCCTGACCTGATGATCCCTGGTCACTGACTAGGTCTCTTTGGCAAGGAACATATGAGTAGTCACCAAGAGCTCACTGGCTGAAAATAGCAGGGATGAGTCCTTGACTCTGTTTTGGTTGTGTATGCAGGAACAGGAAACTCCATCTCCAGTCTCCCTAGCAGAGAGGGGATGCATGCTCTGGTTTTTTCCTATAAAATTTCATGCCGGCTTGCTTTTGTTTATATTATTACTTTTCATTAAAACATGTTTAGCAATGTCTTGGCAAGAAGGAGCATTCTTCAGAAGTTTGAGTACTTTTCTGAATGATAGGGACTTATCCTTAAAAATCCATAAAATGTAAAGGAAGCCAAAGTAGACAGTGATAAAAATGTCAGTTGTTGAAACAGAATTTATGGCTTTGGTTTTAATACTAGGAGTGTTTTGAAAATATCTCGTCTCTTATCTTGTGCACACAGTGGCTCTTATTCAGCTGAGAGAGAGGTTAAGTGAGAAATGAGTTGGCTCGCCAAGGATAGATTTGTCCCACCCACCCCAGCCCCCAACACACATATATACTCACGCACACATACTCTGATGTTAATTTGATTTGAAAAAGAAAAAAAATATCAGGAAACATCATCATCAATTTCTCTTCTTACAGAAATGATTATTCTTGCTTGAGTGCCCTCTGCTGGAATTCCTGATATATACACATTGCCTCTACTTACAAGGACAAGCTGATGTAGGCGGTGAGTAACTTAATATTATGAGCAAGACGTAGGATGTGCAGAAGCCCGGCATGCAAGATTAGGAATAAAACCGAGTTAAGCATTAAATGCAGTGGTCAAGTGTTGATTTAATTAGCCATGAAAAATAGCCACGTTTTGAATGGATCAAAGAAAACAATTACACATAATGGGTGAACTGAAAACAATCCACTATTACTGAAAGAGAGGAATGCTTTAATTAAGCTAAAAGATATACCTAATGTTAAATGAGGTGGTTACAACAGCTGCACGGAAAAGCTGCTTAACTGCTGATTATAATATGAGAAATCAGAAAGACTAGTTAAATGTACCTAATAAAAAGGCAACCTTATTAAAATTCTATTACTATTATTTAAAACTATAGTGAGCCTGTTTCCATGTTTAGCAAGTTGGGTAACCATATTGAAAAATAGTCTTTCACTAATAGAAAATATTTAGATTATTCTTTTAATATTATTTCTGATACAGAGGTGTTGATGTTCTCTACTTTTAACTATATTGTTGGTATTATTTAAAGAAAATTATTGCAGGGAAAGAGTGTGATTGTATAGCATTAAGACCTTGGAATGAATTAGATGAGCACATATTGCTCTCTCTTCGTAAGGCTCCAGACCCTGAAGAATAGAGATGATTGCACAAGCCTGAGCCAGTGTGAATTTGAGCTACCGGGATCCCACTTTAGAATGTCACTTGGAATATTTTTCCTATGAAGATCCTCCCTTTCTTTGGAGGAGTGTGAATTAGTAAGGAAAACGGATTTTCAGTTGTGTGTTTACTGTTCACAGCCCCGAGGTTTGTGTCAGTCACCATCTTCCTTCGGTGTCTCTGTCAGCCTAAGTCACAAACAAAGGGATGAGAAAGACAGAAGAAGATGGGGAGAAAACGAAAGAAAGCCAGAGATTTAACAAAAGGAACAGAGCACAAAGTAGTTTCCCACATTATCTGATTCTGTTCTGCTCCTTCATAGATTGGACTCTAGAGTCAAGGCTCTCATGAGCCAAGTTTCCTGAGTTCAGCACACGGATTCTGCTTTGGTGCAGTCAGTGTTGTTTCCAGTGCTGGTTAACCAATGTGGAGTGTTCCTTCTTTCCATTAGGAGTGACTCACTGTGTAAGTAAGTTATGTTTCTATTACAAAAACAATGATAGACAGACAGAGAGACGATAGAGATACAAAGTTATTCCCTAACTCAAGCTACATGTCTTCTATCCTATCCAGATACCTCTGCCAGCAAATATTCATTTAACACATTTCTGACACTAATTTGAAATTTAAAAATAAATCTGGAGGTAGAGTTTGAGGCTAGAAACACAATTTGATTTACTTTTGTGAATGTCATAGGATAAATGCTTAATCATTGAATAAGATGCAACAATCTAACACTCCTTAGAGTGAGGCATGATTAAATTTCATAATATAAATGTAAAACATTCAGATTTTTGGAGGACTTTTTGACTGCTAAGCTGCTTTAGAATTATACATTCATATTTTAGAATGAGGATATCAAAACATTATATATCTAATTTAACTCTGAATGAAGAAGTAAGCCCTATTTCACTCAAAGGAGAAATACTCAACCTTGTGTCAATCATGGAGCTGGGGTTCTAATGCTGGCATTTGTGACTGTGAGGACACACCCCTTAAGCACAGATGGCTCTTTATCTAAAAACTACAGAAGTCTCCACGTGAGTCATTATTCTGGTTATATGCAAGGCCTAAGTAGAACCTAGGTTCTGGGGGAATTGGGGCTCTTTTAACATGCTGGCTAAATAAAAGATACTGCATGACATTTCTAGAATTCATCTTCCAAAAATTCTAAGAAGTTATGCACGCTGGGGAGATGTTCTAGAAAGGACTTTTCCCCCAGTTTTTTTAGATACATTTTTGTTGTCTGTAGGCTATCGTTTTTGTTCATGTTTCCAGAATCCTATTCGGGGAAATGATCTGACAGACAGCCTGCTCCCAGAGCAGCAAGCCCCTTTCCCCACTTGCCTCTCTGCAGCATCTGCATTGGGCATGAGCCCGGATCCAGATTTACGAGACATATGTAGACACTTCTCCCTTTCTTGGCAAATGCATAAATAGACTCCTACTGTCTACATGTAGGTACTATATAAATACAGAGTTGTGCATACTCTGCGGATGCCATGTATCATTTATCCATGTATTTTTAGCATCACCAACACATTTACATATGCTGTCACGTTTCAAACTGCACCTCAATATAGTGCCTTTTTCAACATGATCTCGGCAGCAGGCAACATCATTCCTTTAACATTTTCACCAAAAATGAAGATCAGAAAAGCCAGCGAATGAAGCCAAAAATAGAAGACAAATTTAAAAACGGATAACACTTTTACTAAGATGTTCTGAGATAGTATAGAATTAGCCAGAGCAGCGGACTGAATCCTGTTCTGGAATTTGATTTATGCAATCATTTGAATATACCTCATATGCCTGGGCTTCCTCAAATGAATGTTTACCCTATGGCCATTCTCTAAAGGCAGTATCAATATGCAAACTATCTTCACAATTTGATGTGGTATGCTTGTAAAACATGGTAGCAAAGGGGAACAATTCTTTAAATCTGATTAAAGAAGCCGGAGACTCTTCACTGGGAGAAAAATCATTTGAATTGATTCTTAGAGGGTGGGCACAAATGTAGATTACTTTGTATAAACAATAGAAAAATTAGAAATCAACTGACCTAATAGATCAAGCCAAAGATCAAACATTATAAAGTAATTAATCTAATAGCTGATACCCAGAAAGCCCAATTTCTCCACAAGAATCAGTCTTAAACAAGAGATCCTGCAAAGGGGCCGGGACATGCTTTTGCATGTCTTTTTTTGACCTTGATGACCATGCAGGTATGGCAGATCTGTTTAAGAGGTTCACAACAGAGTCACACCAATGCTTTTTCAAACATTTTCCTTGAGAAGCAGAACATACTATTAAAAGAAATAGTTCATGGAATACTAAGCATGAAAGAGAAAGAGGCAGACAGCCAGTCTGTTTAAATTGGGGGCTTGGGAAAAGGGAGGAAGATCACCTACATGGCACATAGACTTAGATAAAATGCACATGGCATGGGTGTGAGTGCATGTACACACTGTTTTGCATACACATGCGAATATTTTCTCCAGGTCACTGAATGTCTTTGTACTCACAAGCTGTAAGTAAAGCTGCCTGACTCTGGCCCTGTGTGCTTGCTGACTTTGGCCCAGAGCATTTTGAAAATCCGGGCCATGATCGGCTTCAACTGACCCTGGTCTCACTCCTCCAGTAGCTCCTAGAATAACGGGTGATGTTTGTGGGATTCAACCACAGTGCTGGGAGTTCAGTGTGTAGTGGCTACCCAAGAAACCTGTTAAGATGCACTTCCCACTGATAGCAATGCTGCAAAGTCTGAGATGGAGTCCAGGCATCTCTGGGATGGACACTGCGCTCCGGGTAGATCTGACGCAGCAGTGTTATAAGAAGCAGGGATGATATGGTAGACTATAATGGTGACGGAGGGCACTAGATGAGGAATGTACTAGAGTAAATTCAAAAGAAGAGTTGAGAAGGGGAAGAAGGCATCTGGTAATGGTACAATGCTAGGACAAATGGCCCAGGTGGCCACACAATGCCGCCGCTGCTGGTTCATAGCCCCTTCTTTAGGGACACACAGGACAGGAAACATATACAGGTCATTATGTGTTGCTTCCAAACTACAAGCATTTAGTTAACCTATATGTACCTACCCCTTCTCTGTTCTTCCCTCCTTCCCTCTCCAATATTTATCTATTTAAGGGAGATTTATAGGGCTTTATAAGGAAAGCTCTGCTAAACTTTTGATAAGCACAACAGTAGATCATTAGTGTGTGTGTGTGTGTGTGTGTGTGTGTGTGTGTGTGTTTATAATCATGACACATTCCTATTTGGTTGTCTACAATATGGTTTTCATACTGTATAGCTTTTATAAAATTTAAATTAAATGTGAAGATACAAATATTCATTAGCCGGGTGGTGGTGGCACACGCCTTTAATCCCAGCACTCGAGAGGAAGAGACAGGTGGATTTCTGTGAGTTCGAGGCCAGCCTGGACTACAGAGTGAGTTACCAATATATGTATGTATGTGTGTGTGTGTATATATATATAACTAGAATGAATGGTACATAGTATTAAAATAAAGCATTATGGAGCTGGGAACGTGGATCAGTGTATAAGAGCACCTACTCTGTAAGCATGAGGACTTAGTTCAAGTCCCAAAAAATCATGTAAAAACTGTACATAGCTGCATGTGCCTGTACCCCCAGGATTGCTGGGGCAGAGACAGGAGGATCCTGAGAGCCTCACGACCAGAGAGCCTCACTGTGTCAAGGCAATAAGGCAGAGAGCAGTAGAGGATGGCTGCCAGCATCCATCTCCTGTCTCTGCATGTGGGCGCACAAGTGAATGTACCCACACTTGTGTGCACGCAGTGACCAGCTCCCTCTGCGCCTCTCTCTTCTCCTCTGCGCCTCTCTCCTGCCTTTCTCTTGTCTGCCTCTATCTCTGTCTCTGTCGCTTTTTCTCTGTGTGTCTCTGTCTCTATTTCTCTGTTTTTGTGTTTATGTCCCTGTCTCTCTGCCCTTTTATCTCTCTGTACTTCTTTCTCTGTCTCTCTATATCTAACTCTCTCTGTGTCTCTTTTTCTCTGTGTGTCTCTTTCTCTGTTTCAGTGTTTCTCTCTCTCTCTCTCTCTCTCTCTCTCTCTCTCTCTCTCTCTCTCTCTCTCTCTCTCTCTCTCTCGGGGGGGGGGGTTAGTATGTGCCTTCCAAATGTGGACTTAGCTTCCTAGAAACCTGGAGGAAGGATTCCCTGGATCATGTGTGTGAGCATTTTTGCTGGGATATACTCTTAAATATCTCAGTACAAGTTTGCCTTAGTATTTGCTACATTGTTTTCTAAAATAATCATTTTAATTTGTTATGTCATTAACACTTTCAGAGTATCTATTTCAATGACCTTTAACATACATAATTTGTCAGTTTTTCTTAAGCTGGCACTCTAAATTCTGGTGTGTGTGTGTGTGTGTGTGTGTGTGTGAAGACTGATCTTTGACCATATATTTGTTGATATTTTATTTTACAAAAAAAAACATTTAATATAAAATGAAATGAAAAAAGGTCAAGGCCATTTCCTGTTTAGCTTGGCTGCTTTAAAAAATGTCTACATGCTTTTAATCTTCTTGAGGTCTTATCTGTGGATTTTCTTATTTCTCTGACCTAATATTTATTTCGGCTATTTTTTATTGCAAAGCATGTAGCCTATGTTTTCTGCTCTGTACATAATTCCTGCATTTGTTTGCCTTATGTCTACGGTTAAACCTTTTCAAAGCACATTCGTCATCATTTGACAGAAGTTTCCGTATTTGTTCTTTTATCAGAGGAAGTGGTCCCACATATTACAAACCTGGTTTTCCTGTCACTAGCATTTTTCACTAGTGTGGCATTTGCCATGATTAATAATCTCACATTATAAACTGTGAGTCATTTAAGTCCATTTTTCCTTTACTTTTCCTCAGTTTATGGCAGGTCTTTTTTTCTGTTTCAAAATCTACTTCGGGCTACTACATTTCTGTGTCTTTGGATTTTCTTGGCTAACCATTTTTCAGTCTTTTCTTTTTAGTTGTTTGTCTGATGACTGTTGTAGTTTGAAACTAAAGTATCCTGCACAGGCTTGTGTTTTGAGTGTTCAGTAGAAGGTGTGCAGTCTTGTTGCTGGAAGTAGGCTCCAAGGATGACTTTTGAAGGTGTACCGGCTCTACATCTGGTCTAGCCTTCTCTCAGCAGTAGGCACTAGGGATGGCTTTTGAAGGTGTACTAGCTCTATGTCTGGTCTAGCCTTCTCTCAGCAGTAGGCATTAGGGATGGCTTTTGAAGGTGTACTAGCTCTATGTCTGGTCTAGCCTTCTCTCAGCTCTCTTGCCATTTCACACTGTTTCTGTCAAGTACTTAAAGCCCACAGCAATGCAAAAGTAATCAATACAATGATGTTGAACATTTTAAAATAAAATATCAACTATAAGTGAACTGATATTTTTCTCATGATTAGTCTAGTGTTATGGATTGGAAAGAAGACC